GCGAGGTCCCGGCGAGGCGGCTCCGCCGCGCCCCCACCATAGCCTGGCCGCGTGCGTCCAGGGGCCGATGGGGTGGGGTCAAGCTCAAGCTGTCCACCTTCCCCTAGCCCGGGCGCACCTGATGCAGCCCGGCCTCCACCCCGGTGCTCACAGTGGGTGGGGCCCGGCCTCACCTGCGCTGATTCCTGGGTGGCTCCACCCTCGCGCCAGCCACCCAAGGTGCTGGGAGCTCTGACGCCCCTGTGCGTTGCGGCGTGCCCTATCCAGGATTGTGAGCCCTTGCAACCGCGCCCACTACTGTGCTCCCTCAGAGGCTAGCCTGCTCTGGTCAGTCTCTTTCAGCCCCAGGTGGCTGCAGATCTGCTGGGCCACGACCTGCCCACCCCACCCCAGCCACCCAAACTAACCTCCTGCTCTGCGGGAGCTGGCTGCCCTTGCGGGGAGGAAAGGGGCGGAGGCTCGGCCCTGGAGCCACGTGGGCTGAACCTCTTTCCACAGTGCCGTGGGGAAGACGTGCTTGCTGATCAGCTACACGACCAACGCCTTCCCGGGAGAGTATATCCCCACAGTGTGAGTGCACGGGAGTGGGAGATGGCTGGAGCTGGCCGCTAGAGGCCAGTCACACGTGTCTGGGACCTCCTTTAGCCTCTAAGGTCTTGTTCCAGCGACCCTGGTACTGGGTTTTCATGGTGAGGCTGAGGCGCTGGCCAGAGTTTGGGTTGTGTGGGATTCAGAATTGAAGCCCGCTGGCTGGGCTCCAGGGGCCTGGTATCCCTGCTCAGCCTAGCCTTTCCACTCTGCAGTTTCGACAACTACTCAGCCAACGTGATGGTGGATGGGAAGCCAGTCAACTTGGGGCTGTGGGATACTGCTGGCCAGGAAGACTACGATAGGCTACGGCCACTCTCCTATCCTCAAACCGTAGGTGGCAAGAGGGCCAGCTCTAGGAGTTGGGTGGTTCCTGTGTGGGGAGGAGACACAGACTGCTTGGACACCCTTTGGTCAGTACCATCTGTTCCCTTCCTCTGAAGGATGTCTTTCTGATCTGCTTCTCCCTGGTGAGCCCGGCCTCCTTTGAGAACGTCCGCGCCAAGGTAGGGTGGGCCTAGAGTTCCTAGCAGAAGGCACATCCCCACTGAGCTGGGGGTCTCTGCCAGTGACCTTTTCTGCTGAGGGAGGCACTGAAGGTGTCAGGGTGTCCAGGGAGAACAGCTCACAACTGTCTACCTGACCGAGCAGTCTCAGGCCTCTCTGGATGGGTGTCTTTGTTCACTACCAAACCCGACAAACTCCTAGTCACCCTGTGAAGCCGGCAGAGCCACATGTATCAGAGAAAAAGCCACTTTGGGCAGACTAGGGGCCCTGTCCCCAGGCATAAGGGTCTCTGAAGCCTTTGGGGTCAGAGCCTCTGTCCCCACAGTGGTACCCAGAGGTGCGGCACCACTGCCCCCACACACCCATACTTCTGGTGGGCACCAAGCTGGACCTCCGTGATGACAAGGACACCATTGAACGGCTTCGGGACAAGAAGCTGGCACCCATCACCTATCCGCAGGGTCTGGCTATGGCCCGAGAGATTGGTGAGTAGCATGGGCCACAGGTTGGGAATGGGTTTTGAGGGACTTGCCCTGTGCTGCTCCCCCGTCTACAACCACCCCCCTCTGCTGTCCCTTTCTTGCTGTCTGTCCTTCCCTCAACATTGCCAGGTTCTGTCAAGTACCTGGAGTGCTCAGCTCTGACCCAGAGAGGTCTGAAGACAGTGTTTGATGAGGCAATCCGGGCAGTGCTCTGCCCACCTCCAGTGAAAAAGCCAGGCAAGAAGTGCACTGTCTTCTAGAGCCCCGCCTGACCAGCCCGGCTGAAGAGCCTGGCTCAAGTGTGCCCTCGTGTTGAGCTGTCCCTGAGTCTGCTGTGGGGAGTGATGTGGGTGGGCAGGGAACGCATGGGGGCAGGGCTGGGGCGGTGGGGTCCTGTCCCCTATGCCTCCTTTTTCTGGGATAGAGCTCCAGCCTTCCCTGGTTCCTGTGGGCGGCCAGGAGGGAGCAGGGTCTCCCTCAGGGCTGCAGGGGTGGGTCCAGAGAGGCCCCAGGATGGGCTTCCCTGGAGGAATGGGTGGGGGTGGGTTTTGTTCATCATGTCCCAGGAAAGGGCGGCCCCTTCTTATTTTATACAATAAACATTCACCACCTCCTCCGTCTCACCGTCTGTCCTGCTTTCCACCCTGGTACTTGCTCTAGCCGCCCCCAGGGATGGGGGGAGGCGGGCACGGCAGGGTCAGAAGAGTCTGGCATTCCTAGCTGCACTATATTTCCAAAGGAAACTCCAAGCTTAACACATCTTAGGTGAGGGAGAGGACACCACACAGATCGAAGGAGAGGTAGACACACGTAACTGTTTACAAGATGACCTCTGTGTGCAAACCTGCTGGGGACCTGAGGGACATGCTCCAGCAGCTCTCAACTGAGCTGAGGGGAACAGTCTGTAAAGAGGATGAAGCCTGGACTCTGGAATCCAAGTTGACTCATCTCTGCTGGCAGGAGATGCCAACAGGTTACCAAAGTGGAGGGAGGCAGCCCAAGAGGGCCCAAAGCTATGGTCCAGAACTCAGGCTTCATCCGGAGGCTGAAAGCATTTCCCTGGAACAGACAAGAGACCAGAGGATGCCCTGCAGGGACATATTCTCCTCCCAGTGTTCATTCTGACTCAGAGAGCTGGTTGTTACTTTTTTTTTTTTTTTTTTCAGGAAGTTTTGCCAACCAGTTGTTAAACAGCTCTTATTAATAATTAAGTCACATAAACTTACAATTAGTTGTGTTGAGCACAAAACCAGCAAACTCATCATTTCCTAATTACTTAATGTATGTTGCTGTCCTTTGTACCTCGTGTTATTGTGTGTCGTGGGGTGCTACTATGGGCCGCCTCACCTCCATGCCCCCCCCCCAGCTCCACAACAAATGTTATCAAGTGTATAGCTTGAAGTCAGTTCTCCTGCAAGTTGCATACCAGGGAATGTGGCAAACTGCACAGGCTAGGGCTCGATTTAACAGTGGCCTGGGCCTTTGGAAGCGAGACACTGCAAATCAAATACAGGACTCTCTCATTATGTTGTAAACAATACAATAAGTTGCAGGAATGTTCAAGTTTTAGAAACAATAAAAGAAGTTGTTTGGCTCATTGGCGGATTAGTCCTGTCTGCCGCCTCTTGCAGTGTGCTAGCTACTCAGTGACTGGTAACAGATCAGAGTCACAGAGCTGTTTGTTTGGTGCTTACCAACATTGCACAGCTCCGCTCCAGAAACCTCTGAGCAGCCTATCTTTAGGCAAACTGACCAAACTCTTGAGGATCCAGCCTTCTGGAAGGTCCTATCTTCCACCCCAAGCCAGGGAGCTGGCCAGACCTGAAATCTGTGTGGGAACCAGACTATACCTGCTTTGGATCACAGATGGCATGAAGACCTCTGCCTGTCTGAGAGTCGGCACACAGGTTGCACAGATGTTTATTGGAGGGATGGGGGAGCAATGTCTGAGCGTATGGCTGAGCAGAGTAATGGTGTGGGGGGCTCAGGTAGCCAGGAAGCCCCCATCCACCGGCAAAGTGCATCCGGTGGTCAGGCTGCTTCTGTTGCTCAGCAGGAAGAGGATGGCGTCCACCACGTTCTCCACCTCTGGAGGCAGGTGGAGGCCAAAAGCAAAGATGGAGGAGGCTTCCCTTGTCCTTCCAGCCCCAACCAACCCCCAGGCCCAGGCAAGCTCTAGGCCTGCCGGTATGGTTCCAGCCTGGACTCCTGGAGTCTGGACTCCTGCCTAACTTACCGGCAAACTTGCCGAGTGGGATGCGATCCAGCATGACCTTGGCCTTGTGGGGGTCACCCCAGTTGGTCCGGCCCATTGGTGTCATCACTACTGTGGGGTTTACGGCATTCACACGGATCTGCAAAGAGGCCAGCATGGTAAACAATGTGGGAGGACTCCTGGGCATTAGGGCTGACTGTGCTTCATCCAGCCCCACACACCTTGTGGGGCCCCAACTCTAGGGCCATCATCTTGGTCAGCATGTCCAGAGCACCCTTCGTGGAACCTGTAAGGAAGATTGTTATAGAGGCCAAGGGCTGGCCCAGCAGTGGCGTCGGGTGGGGATCAGGCACAGCTGGAATTACTCACAGTAGACACTGTGGTTGGTCAGTGCACGCTGGGAGGCCTGGCTGGAGACATTCACAATGGCCCCTGGAACTCCCCGAGCTATCATGCCCCTGGCCACAATCTGAAATTTTGAGGGATATGAAGCAGAACTAGCACCCCTCTTCAGAGTTCTTCCTTCAGCCAGGTAGGGCAGCTCACCTGAGACACCTGGATGACAGCCCGAAGATTCACGTTGAAGGACCTAGCAAAGAAGGGACAGCCTGGTCAGGGGCAGGACTGGGGCTGCTGCACCGGATGGTTCCTCCAGTCACCACCGGCTGGCTTACGTGTCACAGGCCTCCTTGGTGACCTCCAGGAAGGGCTGCAACAGAGCCACGGCGGCATTGTTCACCAGCAGGTCCACCGGTCCCACACTGCTTAAGGCCTTCTCTGTGGTCTCCCAGTCTGCCAGGTCCACACACACCGTCTCCACGCCAGGACACTGTATATTGGGGCAAAGCAAATCGATTAGCAACTGTGTCCCAAGAAGGTGGTGCCGTTGGCCTTTTCCTCCCGAGGAAAGGTAGCTGGTCCGGGAGGGTTGGACCTGGAAGGGGACTTTCAACTGGAAGGGTCAGGGGTTCCTGCAAATTGTGAGGCGGAGCCTAGAACCGAAAGACACAGCCCCGCCTCCCGGCATCTCACTTCCTTTCCGCTCAGCACTCTTGGACCTAGGACTGCTCTCCCAGCGGACATTTCAGTTTCTTCCAAACTCAGGAAGCCAGGATCATGTCTTGATGGACCCTCGACCATTTGCACAGGCCTCGGACCTAGGGAGGAGTGCAGAGGGTCCCCACCCCCAACGCGCAGCGCCAGGCGCGGGGCGAGCCTGCAGTGAAAAGCATGCTCGGGTGAGGGGCGTCAAGGGGCGCAGCGTCTCACTCAGGACCATCTCCTCACCTCGCTAGCCAGGCTGTCAAGGTCCGCTTGTGTCCGGCTCACGGCCACAACGCGAGCACCAGCCGCCTGCAACGCCAGCACAGTGCTGCGCCCGATGCCTGAGGCGAACAGGGTTAGTGTGGGGTCCCCCTCTTCAAACCAGCCCGACCCGCCAGCGCCCCTCTCCTGCCGCCAGACCTTTGCCTGCGCCGGTGACCAGCGCCCGCCGACCTGCAAGCCCCAGGTCCATGGTGGCCCAGCCAGATCCGGCCGGGGCAAGATGGACTTGGAGTTCCGGAACCGAGGGCGGGGCGAGGAGAGCCAATCGCGTGGGCTGCGTCTTGAAAAGGGCGAGGATATTAAAATAATAGCTCCTTCTGTCGGGTTGATTGGCTGAACTGCAGTGGGCGTGACCGGGGCAGGGCTGTGTTAACGGAGAGACTCAGCTTCTCAAACTGCACCAGGCTGATCCATCTTCAGAGCCAGCAATCTGCTTAGTGAGCCCTGGTCAACGTGGTTTTCACTGCCAAGAAAATTTCCATGAGAAACAAATATACCAGTTTTGCCAGGCATTTCACGGATATTCGTGAACCTGAGAGGCTCTTTTTATGTACTCTTTCCCCAGGAGGCCTGGGAGTGGGTCGGGACACTGTTACCAATAAAGCCCCATAGTAGCGTCAGAGGGATCTGAAGCCCAAGGTCACCTCACTCAGCTTGCATCAGGTCACCAGCCCTTTATAGAAAGTGAGCAGGAAAAGAAGAGCCAGGGTTGTGTTTCGGGATGTACATGAGAACTGGCCAGACCAACATTTTTTGCTTTCCTGTCAGTTACAGATTAATGAATGTCCAGGAGTACACTGTGTCTCCCTGTAAAAACATTTTGTTGTTAGGGTCATGGTAAGGAACACTAAAGCCACTGCTCTGAGGACCCCACTCTCTCTGGCCAGTAGCAGGGATCTGGTGATTGTAGGGCCCTTTGTCACTTGGGCTTTCTAGCCCAAAGAGGTGCATGCATGGGCTGACTCAGTTCTGATAATCCGCGGCAGGGGGCTCACTGGTTGAGACCTCTGGATGCTCTTCCAGAGGACTCCAGTGTGATTTCCAGGACCCACATGGCCGTTTTAGAGGAACCCGTGCCCTCTTCTGACCTCCGTGGCCATGCACATGGTGCACAGACATACCCGAAGGCAAAATACATACACATAAAATAATAGTAATTTTTTAATTTAAAGGAAAGAAAAGCAGCCCAGAGGCCACATAGCCAAGTGTCTCCCCGCCCCCATCTTCGACCTGACCACCACCACTGTAAGTCCATTCATTCTGTGAACTCTGCCAAGAGAGAGACAGCACTCAGCCTGCCCAACACCTAGATATGGCTGCTTAAAGCTCATTAGCAGCTTCAGTATCCAGGATGTGCACAGGTCTCATTCATTGTTCTGGGTGCACACGGGCTCAGGCCTTGCTCTCTGGAGAGAGGGACTCTCAGAAAACTGTCCCATACTCTTTAGAAGGTCTGTCCGGAGCCCACCCTCCTCTGCTCTGCCACCTGACCTGAGCTGGACCCTGTGCCAGTTCAAGTGGTTGGTCACTTCAAGCCCAACAACCAACCAGATGCCGTGGGCTGTAGTGGCATTTTGCCTTGCCAGTAAACTTGTAGCAGTGGCCACACCCTGTGGCGTGGTTTCAGGTGCAGATGTGACCCACTGATGAGATAGAGGCAGCGGGCTCTCGGATCACTTGGGTTGCAGAGAGCATTGGAGGAGCAGAGACTGCGTCTTGTGGAGCAGCAAGGCCCCAGCAGTTATTTACTCTTATCTGTGTGAGTCCTCCCCTAATAAATACCTATTATTATTTATCTTGGGTCTGGCAAAAACAAACAAACAAACAAAAAAAAAACCTTTCAATTGGTGCACAATGTGGGGCTCGAAACCACGACCCTGAGATTAAGGGTCTCAAAATTGGGGGCTGGAGAGATGGCTCAGTGGTTAAGAGCACTGGCTGCTCTTCCAGAGGACCTGGGTTCTATTCCCAGCACCCACATGGCAGCTCACACCTGTCTGTAACTCCAGTTAGTTCCAGGGGACCTAGTAGCCTTATACCAATGCATATTAAATAAAGTATTTTATAAAGCATCTCATGTTCTACCGACTGAGCTACCCAATGCAAGCAAGCACAGGAGAACCTGCCAGGGCCCCTGAGACACTCTGAGGAGCCGTGTTTGCAGGGCTCTTATGCGGGTGCTGGCCAGGGTGACAGACCAGCTAGCTAGCTGTGAGAGCTTCAATTTGGGCAGCCTTGTTAGTGTGCTCTTATGAATGGGCCAGGCTAGGGAAGTGGGTTCCAGAGAAGACAGAGAGACTCCAATTCCCACTCAACAGTTCCTCTCCTTTTGCACAGAGTCCACAGGGTTAGGAGTGATCTGGTCCAGGACATCCCCCCTCCCCTTCCCCCAATTGCTGGGTTGGGGTCAGAACACAAAGAGGCACCAGTAATGGAAGGGCAAGGGCCCTAAGAGGAGGGGTGTGACAACACAGATCCCGTCTTTCCAGGAGAGCACCCTTTGGTCACACTGGTCACAAGGCACAGTAGGTTTCAGGAGACACCAGGCTTTGAGGTGACTAGCCTGCAGCAGGGCCTGATCCAGTATCCAGCCTTGCAGCAGGCTACCCCCAAGGAGTCCTGTGCAATGGTTTGGGAATGTGTCGGTCTATTTATTTAGGAAAATGAGACCAGCAAAGTGGATAAGGAGAACAAGAACCCCAAGGTCCAGAGTGTGGGATCAGAGAATAATATGGGGAGCTATGTCAGGGCGGGGCTGTGGCATAGGGAGCAAGTCATGAGGTCAGAGGAAGTTTGGCTCGAGGGTGGGGCCAGGGAGGCCTCCAGGGGTCCACTGCGTCTGGCGGTCTAGGAGGCCAGGTAACCAGCGTCCACCAGGATGCTGGAGCCAGTGGTCGAGGCGCTGCTGTCGCTGAGCAGGAAAAGGATGCTGTTGACAACGTCCTCCACCTCTGCGGGGCAGCAGAGCAGTCAGGGCTTCTGCCTGCTGGGCTGCTGTGCCCTTCACGGAGTCCCTCACCCACAGCCCCAGCTGACCTGCAAACTTCCTCAGTGGGTGGCGCTCCTTGAGCTTCTTGGCAAAGTTCGGGTCTGCAGAGACTTTCTTGCCCATGTCAGTCAGCACCACAGTAGGGTTTACAGAGTTCACCCGGATCTGGGGCCAGAAGCCACAGCAGGTGGGTGGCACAGCCAGTCAACTAGCCCTACCCACACAGCTCAGGACTTAGCCCGGGACAAGCCTGATGAGCTGAGAGCATGCCCAAGCCTCCCCCTCAACCCTCAGCCCTGGCCCAGGTGCCCATCATCTGTCCCTCAGGTGTGGGCCCAGGCCCCCGTGCCTACCTTGTGTGGCCCCAGTTCCATGGCCATGGCTTTGGTCAGCATGGTTAGTGCACCTTTTGTGGAGCCTGTGGGGGGGTGGGGAGTGCTGAGGACCCCCCAATTATTCAGTCCTCCTTCTGGGAGAGGCACCCAGAACCTCCTCCCCCCCACAATGAAGGTTGCACTCACTGTATGTGGTCAGGCCAGGGAAGGTGACATAGGCCACCATGCTGGAGATATTGACAATGGATCCTGCCACTCCACGGCTAATCATGCCCTTGGCTACCACCTGGAAGCCCAGAGTTAGGGGTAGCTCACTGTGCCCTGTGCCATCCCACCCTCCCCAGGTGTCCCTCCCTGGGCACAGTCCTCCCCCCATCTCACCTGGGACACTTGCAACACAGAGCGCACATTCACATTGAAGGACCTGGCAGGAGAGGGACAATGGCGCCACCAGTGTTCAGCGACCCTCCCCAGCCTGCCCATGCTCCCCAAGCGCCCACCTGTCAAACACCTCCTTGGTAGACTCTATGAAAGGCTGCACCAGGGCCACCCCTGCATTGTTCACCAGCAGGTCCACGGGGCCAATATTGCGCAGTGCCTTCTCGGTGGCCTCCCAGTCACCCAGGTCCACGCACACAGGCTCTATCCCCGGACACTGTGAGAGACATTGTTTGGTGGCCTGAGTGAGGCTTTGTCCCAGCCAGCTTCTGATGTACCCCTGAGGTCCCAGCCATGGCAGGGCTGTGTGCCTCACCTCTTTGGCGAGGCTGACCAGGTCTGCATTGGTGCGTGTCACGGCCACCACTTTGGCTCCTGAGGCATGCAGGGCTTTCACAGTGTCACGCCCAATCCCTATAAAGCAGGAATATGACGGGATAAGAGCCCTGTAGGCTTGGCTGGGATCAGGATCATGGGTGGGAGCAAAGACCCCAGAGGACAGCTGGTTCCTGGTAAGCTCCGGGGAAGGCTGCCTATCTGCCCAGTCTGAATCTAGGAGAAATCCTGCAGCCAAACTAGGTCCACCCGTCATGGGTATTGTGATGGCCAGGATGGGGTTGTCATTCTGTCTTGGTGGGTCTCCAGTCAGGTGACATAAACAGGTCAGTCCTAGTCAGTATGAATCAGACTATGGAGGTCTGACCTGTGACAAAGTCACCCTGGGCCCCTATTCTGTGTTGAGGCTGACTCCCTTCCTCTCCCCATTGCCGTCTCCCCAACCTGCTCACACTCACCTTTCCCCGCCCCTGTCACCAGGGCCCTCAGGCCACTGAAACTCAGCTTCATGCTGCCAATACCAGTGTATCCCTGAAGCAAGAGATGGGCTCAGCTTTTATGGCTGGGCTGGCAGGCGGGGCAGAGGTGGGGCTAGGAGCCGACCGGCCTGGCCAGGATGGCATGACTCACTTCCTCCGTGGGTAGGCCTCTCACTCCCCAAATATGCCAACCGGCTGCCTGTTGGAGTTTCAAGAAGAAGTGAGAAACTGTGTGTACACACAGACACCTGTGAGAGGAGCTCACACAGATGTGCTATAGGAAAGTCAGAGGCCTGAGGATGCTAGGCAAACTTGTACCGCTGGCCAAACTTCTGATCTAGGAGAACGGACATTTTGGTTTCCTGATTTGCTTACTGTGGATAGAAGGCCGACAACAGTTATAGTGAACGAGAAGCCTTTCTGAAGGACCAGTATGGCTGTGCCCATAGACACGGTAGTGGCTAACCACTCAGCACTGACAGTTCTCTGGAGGCAATCCAGCACCCTGGATTTACTCTGTGTGTGCTCCTGGGAGAGGAACAGGCATCCAATGAACAAGGTCAGTAATCTGATTCCTGGGCTAGGTCAGGTAGCAAGTTTACTTCCACCTAACCCTTCCCCGAGCATTCCTGAAGTCTGTCACCTCTACTTGCTTCTCCTGGGTGACCCCACCTGCCCCCGAAACTCAGCCCTTGGTGACCACACTGAGGCAAATTCAGCCCTCTGAGGTGGTACTCCCCTTCTCAGGGAAGATGGGTGGACCCTTGAGGGAAGTTTTGAGAAACAGAGGATTAAATGTCCATCCTAACCAAGGGCAGTGGTGGCCCGTGCCTTTAAGAAAGACAAAAACAAACAAACAGAAATGTCCATACTAATTTTCCATCTAGGAAGTTGTCTAAGGCATGCCAAGCCCTCTGGATCTTGTGTGATAAGGTTCATGGAAGGTGTTAGTATCCAGGCGTCTGTGCTGGCCTGTCCTTGGGGTTCTGACAGGATTCACCCTCAGCTGCAGCCACTAAGAGCACCACCTGTGCACATTCACTGTGTTCCCTTTTAAAAGAGCCCTGCCCACCTCCCATCCTTCTCTCTTTCTTTCTCTCCCTCTGTCTATTCCCCTCCCCCCCTTCTCCTGATGCTCCTGTCCCCAGAGGCCGGTCTCCCGCTCCCTTTCCCCCTTTTATGATCTCTTTCTCTAATAAAAACCCTGCCTGTCTCATGGTATCTTTCTCTCGAGCGCTGCTTGTCTTAAATTACAACAGAAGGGATGTTTCTTTCCAGGGGAGTCATGGCAAGGCACAAGGCAGCTGCACCAAGCAGAAGGTTTGGATGCACAGACCACCCAAGGGACAGCCCCAAGCAGCAGGTACGGTCAGGCTTCCCACAAGCTGCCTTTCCCTCCTTGTAACCAGGGTCCACACTGAGACTGAGTGACCCTCAGAAAGGCGTGTGCCACCACATCTGGATTGTAAATTAAGTTTTACCGGAACACAGTTATGCCCATTTGTTTATATGACTACAGCTGTTTTCATGTTGCCAACAATCGTGTTAGTAAATTACGGCAGAGACATTATGACCTGTAAAGTCTCAATGATTTACTCTCTGGCTCTTAAAAAAAAAAGCATGCTGACTCCTGCCCTAAAATTTTAGTTCTTATCTTGGGCTATTTTGCAAGGCATTATCCTTGGTGCCAAGCCACTGTCATCGTCAAAACAGCTATTCCTAGACTAGAAGGAGGGGACTTCATCTAGAAGGCTATGGGAAAGCCATTGTCCATGTTAGGTGAAAACTTTCCAGTGTAGCTACTTCTTAGCATGGTCACCCACACGTCTGTCAGTTACCCCTTACCCATACTCTATGTAAGTCCCACACACTCATTGGTTCCCCAAGGTGAATCTGTGGTGGAATTTTCCTTTGGTCTCTTAATTGGAACCTAAGGAAGAGAGGGTAGATGTCATTTACACATCTCCCAGGAGAAACACCACTTGGAATATATTTGTGTATTTTTATAATACTTTGGACAACATATTGAGGATATTACAACAAGGAAAAGAAGTGATTATTTAAAATGAGCTTACTGGCAGAAAGTATGAGGGGTGGGCAGAGGCAGCACACAGGTTCCACCTGTGAGAACACATCCTTGGCAAATAGCCATAGCCTGCATATAGCCATAATTATACTGTCTCTGATAAAAAAAAAGTTCTAGGGTTCCCTGGTGGTGGTGGTACATGCCTTTAGTCTCAGCATTTGGGAGCCAGAGGCAGGCAACTCTCTGTGAGTTGGGGGCCATCCTGGTCTACAGAGCAAGGTCCAGGACGGCCAGGGCTGTTAAACAGAGAAGCACTATCTTGAAAAACAAAACCAAAAAAGTTCCAGGGCGACTATTCTGTATTCTCAAGCAATAAAGATTCTTCTTCGGGGTGGGGGAGAAAGTTTGGGGGTGAGGGGAGGGAGAGGGAGAAGGGACTTGAAATAAGCTTGTTCCCTAACTAGAACTAATAAAATAAAATAAAATTAAAAAAAAAAAGATTCTTCTTCTATCTGGGAAAATTGTATTCCAAAAGAAAACATATGGATTGGGACCAGTGAATGGGCAACCCTGAGGATTTCTGAGACAAAAAGCCCACTTGTTCCGGTTAACTTTCTGTTGCTGTGATGAACACTATGACCTAAGGTAACTTGAGGAGGAAAGTCCATCATAAAAGGAAGTCAGGGCTGGAAACTGGAAGCAGAAATCAGCAGAGGCCACAGAGTAAGCTTTCTGGCTTACCCTCATGGCTTGCTCAACCTGCTGCTTGTTTTTTGGGGGGTGGGGGAGACAGGGTCCTTCCATACAGCTCTAGCTGCCTTGGAACTCTTTGTAGATCAGGCTGGTCTAGAACTCACAGAGATACACCTGCCTCTGCCTCACCACTGCTGAGATTGAAGGTGTGTGCCACCCCAACGTGTTTGTGTATACAACCCAGGACCACCTGCTGAGGGGTGACCCTGCTCACTATGGACTAGGCCTTCCCACATTCATCATTAATCATTAAACAAGACAACATCCCACAGATTTGCCCACAGGCCAATCTGATAAAGGCATTTTCTCAATTAAGATTTCTTCTTTAAGGGAAATTTGATTAGATCTACCAGGGCAAACTGGGGGTAGGGGTGGTAAGGGGGAGAACAGGAGGGAACAAGATAGCCCAGGTGGGGGCAGATGCAGAGGATGAGCAATGGAGAGATAATCTTGACAGAGAGAGCCATTGTGGGCCAGAGAGAAGCCTGCTCCTAGGGTAACTCCCAAGACCCACAAGGAAGACCCCAGCTAAGACGCCTGATAATAGTGGAGGCGATGCCTGAGCTGGCCCACCCCGTATCAGATTGGTGAATACCCCAGCTATCATAGAGCCTTCATCCAATAATTGATGGATGCAGAAATCCACAACCAAGAACCAGACCAGTCTCTGGGAATCCAGTCGAAGAGAGGGAAGGAATATATGAGCAAGTGAGGTCAAGATCATGATGGAGAAATCTACAGAGACAGCTGAACCAAGTTCACGGAAACTCATGGACTCTAGACCCACAACTGTGGAGACTCCAGGGGACCAAACTAGGCCCTCCGTATGTGGGAGACAGTTTTGAAGCTTGGACTAGCTACAGGGCCCCTGAACTACAATATAAACCTGGTACATGAGCTAGCTTGTTGGAGCCCACTCCCTATAGTGGGATGCCATGCTCAGCCTTAATGCACAGGAGAGGGGCCCGGTTCGGCCCCAACCTATTGTGCCAGACTGTTGACTCCTCATGGGAGCCCTTACCCGTGAGCAGAAGTGGACTGGGGGTGGGCTGTGGGGGAGGTGAGAGGGTGGGTGTGGCAGGGAGAGCTGTGGTTGGGATGTAAAATGAAATTAAAAAATGAGAAAAGATTTCTTCTTTAGGTGCCAAAGAGATGGCTCAGCAGCTAAGAGCACCTGCTGTTATTATAGAGGCCCTGGGTTTAGTTCCCAGCTAAGAGCACCTGCTGTTACTATAAAGGCCCTGGGTTTAGTTCCCAGTTAAGAGCACTTGCTGTTATTATAGAGGCCCTGGGTTTAGTTCCCAGTTAAGAGCACCTGCTGTTACTATAGAGGCCCTGGGTAGTTCCCAGCACCCACCCGGGGCTCAACTGATTGTGACTCCAGCTCCAGGGGATCTGATGCCCTCTTCTGCCTTCCATGGCCACACATGTAGTGTACAGGCAGACATACAGGCAAGCATACATTTTTTTTTAATTCCTCCTTTCCAGATGTATCTAGGTTTGTGACGAGTTGACATAAGCCAACCAGTATACCCTTCTTTCACAAATGACAGTTTTCATCTTCTAGGAGAAATATTCTGAGGATCTGGGAACATAAATCTATCATTAAGTTTCTAATAGACCATTGTACAGCTTGCCTCCACTATGGCCAAAGTAAAAGACATGAGCAAACCTGGGCCGATTTGCAGTGTGTCAGATATTCTTTGTCCTGTTATGCCTGAGGGGAGTAGAGTGGACATACGCACTTTGTGTGCCAGCCTTTCCCGTCTATCTCCATGCCAACTAGGCAGATGAGTGGTGCCTAGGACCTTACAGAGTCATTCATGACACCTACTCTCTGCGAGATCTCGGTCGACCAAGAACTAGATCAGCTCAGCAACATGCCATTTCCATTGTCTGTACTTAGCATTTTGTCCATCCAGGGCAGGCTTGGGAGCCTAGTCAGCACAGTCATCACTGTGAGCCCACGAGGTCAGCTCAGACTCACCGTACTCCCCCGTGCTTCCGGTGTGTGCTGTGCACCCATGGGCACCTGTTTTATTCTTTCAGGCATCCCGGGGTAAACATGGCTCATAACCCTGAACAGAGCGTGCCCGTCTTTCCTTTTGGATAGGGGATGGATGACTTTAAACTGAACATGACCAGAAGTGTGTTCCTCTTCTCGTGGGCCTTCTTCATACATTAACATGCATAGCCTTCTGTTTGAAAGAAAAAAATGGCCCCCAAAGGGAATGGGGGGTGTGGCCTTGTTGGAGGAGTGTGTCACTGTGGGGGTGGACTTTGGGGTCTCATATAAGCTCATATATGCCCAGTGTCTGAATATGTCCCCTGCAAGGGGAGCAGGTCTGAGAGGTCCCTTGCAGGTCAGTGCAGAGCTGGCTCAGGCTGGCTGCAGGATGTGTAGTAGAGTCTTCACTAGTGCGCTAACCAGGCATAATGTCCTATCCTGGCTTCCATGGTTGAGGGTTCTGTGGAGGGCAGGATGTGCCCTGACAAGCCTAGGGCTGCCCTGGAGAGAGGCAAGTCACTGTGCACCCCTGTAAATGTGCACGTGTGAACAAAGGCAAGGGCTACCAGAAGACAGGACAGAGAAGGGGGTGATGGTGTACAGCAGGTAGGCAAACAAGCAGGCAGAGTCTGTGTCTCAGAGACCCCCAGGGTCACTGGAACTTCTGGGTGTGGTGTGTATGTAGAGGTGTGACCCCTTCTGAACAGGTGAATGCACGGAGGAGCTATAGCTGGAGCTGGACAAAATCCTTCCAGAAGCTTCTAAGCCTCCCCTTCAAATTCCTTCTTTTGGGGCTCTGTAGGGGGAAGTTTTTATTTACTTGATTTTCCTGCTCGAAAGACATAGAAAGAGCCCTTAACAAAACAACTTGAAACTGGAATCCAGGCTCACAAGGAAATACACCAGCCAGGTGTAGGCCAAGCTGATCAGAGCTGCCCTTCAGAGTTCGGGACAATAGGACTTCAGGGAAAGGGAGAGTACCTCCAGGGACATGTTGAGACAAGCTAAGGTTCCTACCTTTGAGCTCAGGGTCTTGAAAAGGATAATGTGGGGTGGGATATGGGTCCCAGCCAGCATCCAGGCTTGTCCTAGATATGACATACTTCAGGAGGCCAACCCACGCAGGGAACAGAATCCTGGGTACCCTTTACTCACCAAGCTGAATTGTGTTTGTGTGTGTGAGTGTGTGTGTGTGTGTGTGTGTGTGTGTGTGTGTTGGAAATACAAAATTAGAGCTGAGTATGGTACCCACCAATCAGTACTCAGAGGTAGGCAGAGTTTGAAGCCTAATCCAGGGTTGCATAGTGAGACCCTCTCTCAAAGCAACAACAACCCCTTAAAAACAACAACAAACAACAAAATAAAAAACAGAAAAAGGGGGCTGGAGAGATGGCTGAGAGGTTAAGAGCTCTGATTGCTCTTCCAGGGGTCCTGAGTTCAGTTCCTAGCAACCATATGGTGGCTGACAGCCATCTACAATTCAATCTGGTGCCCTCTTCTGGCACATAGGCAGAATACTGTATATGTGATAAATAAATCTTAAAAAAAAAACAAAAAAAAAAAAAAAAAAAAAAAGTTGGGGCTGGAGAGATGGCTCAGAGGTTAAGAGCACCGACTGCTCTTCCAGGGGTCCTGAGTTCAATTCCCAGCAACCACATGGTGGCTCACAGCCATCTGTTATGAGACCTGGTGCCCGTTTCTGGCCTGCAGGCAGACATGCAGGTAGAATACTGTATGCATAATAAAAAAAATAAAAAAAATAAATCTAAAAAACAGAAAAAGGAAATACAAGTTCAAGGATGGGCCTTCATTCAGCCTCTATTTCCTGGTCACCTGTGCTGCCTTCATCTCCCAAGGTTCCCTGGTCTGTGGGTGGTCCCCTGTTCTTAGCTAAGGCAGATATGCACTGGACCAGGAGCTTAGCCAGCCCTGGAGCCTTTGGAAGTGACATTAGGCAGAGGCAGGGCAAAGGCCCTTAGGATGGACACCAAGTGTTGGGAACTCAGCATGAAGGTCTTTGTGCCCACAGATCTCCAGAGAAACCAGAAATGTTAAGCACACAGGATGTCTCTCCAGTGGGAAAGATGAAAAACAAGCTTCCAACCAGAAAGCTGAGAGTTAGGAGTGATTAACAGCCTGTTAATCTGTTTAGCTGTTAGGTCCCATAACCAGGACCGGAGGTGTCTGACAGCCCAAATGGCCTCTATGCTATCTGTATGACCCAGCCCAGCCCAGACCCTTCCTTAGGCCCTTAAGCTAACACAGATAGTTTTTCTCTAGAATCCATCCTCTTGCTAGAAATGACACGTACCCTGGGTTGAGCTCCAATGAAATTATACTTCCTTGTGGAATGAGGATTGTATTACACCAGGAAACTTTTCCAAATTATGCTTGACTTAAATACACTGGGACTAAACCTCCTGTTATTAGACTTCTGGAGGTCGGGTCCAGGTTGACAAAGTCAGTCTGCACCGGGTTTTCATTCTTACCTCTTTGCAGGGTTCTCTTCCCCATATGAAACCTGCAGGGTCCCCCTCAACCAAGGGTCACCCAAGGCTATAAGTCATTTTGCTCCTGCTGGCTCTTGTACCCTTCCCTCTTATTACATAATTAGATTATAAAAGGACTCATGAACAAAGAACTTCCTAAACTTGAACCTTCCCAAATCTAAGCTCTTTCGGTTTGAGCAGTGCAGGACCTGGGAGAGAGGCTTATGTAAGGAGATACAGCTGGGAAAAGCTACCCAGGTTTTTCCCAGATTAACAAGTGGGCAAGCAAAGAGAAGGATGGAGAGGCAGGTGGGTGACGGGGCAGAGAAAGAAGGACATCAAATGTCCTTACCTAAGGAAGCTCCCTCTGCTGACCCTGCCCTCAGGGATACTAAAGCTTTTGCACTTTGACCTTCAGTGTCTTCAGGGTGGGATGGAGAGGGGAATCCCAACTTGTGGGCACCTGTGAACCAGAGCTGAGGCCCTGATGCTGGGTCCCCATGTTCTTGAGGGAACTCTCTCCTCTGTACCGAGGTCACTGAACTGTCAGTCCCTGCTTGCTTCCTAACACAATTCCTACAACACACCAAGAGGAGCAGCCCTTCCTGCCAACCAGGAGGAATCCCGGGCATTTCTAGAAACTGTTCCACCCTCTGTTCACTGGTTCTACCCTCTCAGATCCCACCAGACCCTTTTAGACACCTGGCTCCTCCTCTGGCTGCCCCCCCCAAGAATGTCTCAACTGTGGCCTCAGTTGCTACGTATTGTGTGAAGCAGTGCCTTGCCCGGAGTGAGTCCATTCTGAGTTCAAATGTAGATGCAAAGATGACTTTGTAGCTACTCTCATCTGTCACGCATCAACCACAAGGCTTGGAATGATAAGTGGGTTTTTTTTCTTTTCTTTTGTTTTTTGGTTTCCCTGTGGCTTTGGAGGCTGTCCTGGAACTAGCTTGTAGACCAGGCTGGTCTCGAACTCACAGAGATCCACCTCCTCTGCCTCCTGAGTGCTGGAATTAAAGGTGTGTGCCACACCGCCCAGCTGGTAAGTGGTGACTAATTTCTACAAGTTAAAAGGCACCACCCATAGCTTCTCAAAGTAGACTATTATATCACATGTGTGCAGGGACCTGCATTTTATGGGACCAGGCCAAGCTGTGGTCTGGTTGAGCATATATCAGCTCTGGTTCTTTGAGGCAACTGGAAGAGTTAACTGTCATTAAATGACTTCTGACTCTGAGGTGTGGGCTTATCCTCAGGTAACTGCTTTCACTTGGAGTAGTCTGTCAGCTCACCAGCATTTAGGGGTATTTCTGTCCTCCGTTATAGATAACACCTGTGCCACACACGCTTGGCGCTTTAATTCCTTTTTCCTTGTGGTCTCAAGCCACTCCATCTCAGGAGACTGTGGGGACACTCCCCTGTGCACTACTCTGTTGTCACCACCAAAAGGAATATTGCCTTCACATTCAAGCGTCATTGCTAGGAGACACATATACACACAACTCAGCAGGCTCTCATCCGTGGATTCTATTCTTTACAAAGGAGAAAACAAAGTGCGTCAGTGGCTTTCCAGAGGCGGACCTGGCCCCAGTGCTGGAAGGACTTGGAACAGCAGCCATTCTCTTCTGTCCCCAGCCGGCGGCTCTCTCTGTACTACAGCGCCCCCTGCTGTCTGTGTGCCTGCGGTCCCCGCAGCTGAACCGGAACTGTGAAGTGCCAGGTGCAGGTGCTTCAGTGGCTACTCCAATTTTTCTCCACTCTGCATGTCAAATAGTCTATGAATAACCGGAAGGGGCCAATTAGCAGCTCCTCACTCGGCACCCTGACCTCGAATTCCCAGTCCGGCATACCCGCACCACCTGTGATTTTAGTGCCTGCCTGGTGATCAGGCAGGTGCAGAAACCTAGGAAATATTCTTCAAAAACATGGTGTGAGATGCCAATCCAAGCATACGCAATTACCATGTTTTCTTGGTGACTTGCGTGTGCCAGCTAAATGGGTTACAACTGAGCTATACCACCAGCATATTCAAAATTTAACTTTCATGTATAATATTTTTGTGATCGTATATCAATTATGTGCCCATCATGTCTATTATTGGGTTAAAATAAAATGAAGAGAGAGAAAAATGTTGCTTCTCAGAGACAATTATAGAAGGACGAAGGGTGTTATTTCTCCCCAGTCTCCTCTGTAAAGGTTTGGACTATCCTACAAACCCAATAACCACCATCATCAGGAGTTCTGCCTCAAAAGATAACTGGGTCTATTGACTGTCTACCTTCTCTCACAGAAGGACGGCGTGGGAAGGGTCATGGGACCCTCACTGGAGTGTTCAACCCTCCCCACAACCAGTTGTATGGAATTCTGCCCCAATTACAAGAGGCCTGGGGTAGTCTGGGGGAGGAGCTAGATGGCGTGTGTGGGGAAGGACCAGTGCGAGGTCCTCCCTCTAAGTAGCCCTGGGGAAGCCATCGTCCCTGCAGGGCACAGACCTCCCAGTCCAGTGTGGTTGCTGTAAGGCCAGGCCGCCTGTGCTTCTGGTCTGAGTCCCTCAACCATTGCACTGTAAGCCTAATAATCTCATTGGTTCCCCTGCTGGGGTCCAGCCTGTATCAGTCCCATGCTACAGAGGCCATCTATTCCAGACTGATGTCTTTGGGGCTGCCATCGGAACCAGCCAAACAGCCTTGGGTCCAACCCTGAGTGGGGGAGTGTGGATGAGGGAAGTCCTAGCTAACCAATAGCATTAAGGACGAGAGAGAGACATCTTCCCATCTCAGGAGGGCTCTCAGTCCATACTGGAGAGCCATGGTTTATTCAAGCATCCTCTTAAATAGCTTTCCAAAAGCAGGGGTACTGGCAGCAGACATCTATTATCATGTATAGAGCTGATATCAAGTATTTCCTTTAATCCTATAGACGTTTCTAACCCTGCACACACTCAAGCTCTCAGACTTCCCATCAGAGCATGTCCCACTAGTCCCCAGGCTTGTCCCACTAGCCCTCAGGATGCGTGTGGGTCCACCTAGGGCCTAGGTCTATTGTTAAACTAGGAGCCATTCTCCACCATCTCTGGGCTCTATCCCTGGTCCTGAAGTGTATAAACCACCTTTTAAAATTTAATTTAATTTTTTTGGTTTTTCAAGACAGGGTTTCTCTGTGTAGCTTTGGAGCCTGGAACTCACTCTGTAGACCAGGCTGGTCTCGAACTCACAGAGATCTGCCTGCCTCTGCCTCCCGAGTGCTGGGACTAAAGGCGTGCGCCATCACTCCTGGCTATAAACCACCCTTTAATCTTCCTTCTCCTGTGCTCCACTGCAACCAGCCAGACCATCAGGGACTCAAATCTGAGATGATTACAGTCTCTTCCCAGAATATCTGAGCTGCATGAGTGACTGGATCAAAGTAGAAAATTACTGGTTAGAAAAGTCTGTAATCATAACCAAAAACAGACAAGAGTTCATGGCCAGTAACCCATGATAAACACCAAGACTTTATAGTATCTTATTCTCAGAGTTAGAAACAAAATGTCCGAGGGTCCCTGGAAGACTTTGTAGCCCCCCTCCTCTCTCTCTCTCTCTCTCTCTCTCTCTCTCTCTCTCTCTCTCTCTGTCTCTGTCTCTCTATCTCTGTGTCTCTGTATGTGTGAGGGCCAGCTGTGTAGGCGGAGCTTTAGGATCTCCCAATAGCAATTTTCCTTCCTTTCCAGCTATGTTTGCAAGAGCGACTGGAAGCTAAGTAAGCCAGTGGGACTCAACCAGCACTGACACAACACAGGAATTAATGTGAAAAGGGACATGATTATCTCATTGTGCATCGTAAAGAATCCGGAAGTGGGGCTGGGGAGAGAGCTTGGTGGGTAGTGTGCTTGCTGTGCAATCAGGACTTCAGTTTGAACTCCTGCCATCCATGTCAGGAGACAGCACACGTCTATGACCTGAACTCTGGAGAAGCAAAGACAGGAAGAACCCCAGGGCTCACTGACTAGCTACTCTAGCGAAATGGCAAGCTCCAGGTTCACTGAGAGGACCTATCTCAAAAACATAAGGTGGAGGGAGTCTGAGTATTCTATTGCTGTGAAGAGACACTATGACCAAGGTGACTCTTATAGAGGAAAACATTTAATTTGGGGCTTATGGTTCCAGAGGATCATAAAGTCCTTGAGCATCATGGCAGGAAGCAGGTAGGTGTGGCACTGGAGCAGTAACCGAGAACTTTACATCCTTAACCCACAAGCGGCAGGGAGAGACAGACACTAGGCCAATCAAGAGCTTCTGAAACCTCAAAGCCCACCTCAAGAGACACACCTCCTCCAGCAAGGCCCCACCTCCTAACCCTTCCCAACAGTTCCACTAACTGGTGACCAAGCATCCAAACATAGGAGCCTATGGGAGCCGTTCTCATTCAGACCATCACAGAGGGGCTGGAGAGGTGAGGGCCGCAGTTAGAGCATTTACTGCTCTATCAGAGGGCTAGAGTTCAGATCCCATACAGGCAGTTCCCAAAAGCCTGTATCCCCAGCTCCAAGGGACTTTGTCAGAAGCCAGCCTTGGCGACCCCCCATGCCTAGCTAGCCTAGCGTCCCACCCCTCGGGTTCCCGGACCTGGCCTGAGAAGCAACTAACACCTATTCCTTCCCCCACTTCCTTAGGTTAGTGCTTGGGGTAAACACAGGAGATTCTGGATACCCACCCTGGCCTGAGAGCAATTAACATTCATTCCTCCCCAACCTCCTTTTTCTCTGCTTCCTCCTTTCTCTTTAAAAACCCCTTGTAATAATCAATAAAGTCAGACCTTGACAAAGACCCTGTTTGGTCTCCTCCTTCTTTCTCGTCCATTATTTTCAGGCTTGATCTACCTTGGACCCACGAATTACTGGAGCCCCGGGGGCCAGGGCAGGACTTAAAACCCTCTTCTGGCTTCTGTGGGAACCTGTACACACAGGTATCTCTCTCAGTAGAGGAGGTAAAATACCTGGTTTCCCACCCAGGAAGCCGGGAGTGTTTTTTTGTTATTGACCTGGTGACCTTTTTGCTATCTGAGGGGAAAGACCTCACCCTAACTCCCCAGAATAATTATCCCAGACTTTTCCCTCCTTAGACCATAACCCACCCTTAGGGGAGACACCACACATACTCTATGACCTGCTTACTTCTCTGCTACTGGTCAGAGACCACACTAGATTCTAGACCTTTATAGAACACATCCTCATGGTCACACATACTGTGTAAAAGAGTTTTGCTGGGCGGTGGTGGTGCACCCCTTTAAGCCCAGCACTCGGGAGGCAGAGGCAGGCGGATCTCTGTGAGTTCCAGACCAGCCTGGTCTACAAGAGCGAGTTCCAGGACAACCCCCAAAGCCACAGAGAAACCCTGCTTTGAACCCCCCCAAAAAAAAAGAGTTTCTATGTAGTCACACTGTAAGCTTTATTGTGTACCTAGAACTGGACTGATTGCCCCAATCGTTGATTGGAAACCTTTCCCCAAATTATACCGTGTTTTAAATATGCTGACAAGGAACACGCACCCCACCACCACCCTCCCCCCACACCCCACACCACCCCGACCAAATTACACTCCCTGAAGTCTGAGCCAGGTTGAAGAAGTCAATCTGTGCCGGGTTTCCATTTTTTGGGGGTGGTTTGCTTCCCTGCTTGCATACCCCCAGGGACCCCTCATCTCAGTAGTTAAGAACACTAACTGTTCTTCCAGAGGACCTGGGTGTGATTCCCAGTACCCACATGGCAGCTCACAACCATTTATAACTCCAGTGCGCAGACATACGTGCAGGCAAAACACTCCACACATAAAATAATAAATAAATAAATAAATAAATAAATAAATAAATAAATACAAGGAACAAAGATGCTCTGCTGGTGCCTGGCCACCTTCACAGAGCTTGCACCAGGCTCTGAACCACCACCTGTGACCACAGGCATTCAACTTGTGAAATGGCAAGAGAGAGACTAGATCTTACTCAGAGATGGCCCCTTACCACTGAACACAGTTCCCACTTCACAGACCAAGCTGTCAAGATCCTCTCATGTCCTGCTCATGGCCCTAACACATGGGATAACTACTTGAAATGGAGCCTGGAAGCTGTTGCACCCAACATCTGGGAGGTCTCCCTACCCCACACAGTCCTATACCACCGGAGATCCTAGCTAGCCTGCTGCCTTATCAATGCCTACAACATTGACCAGTGCTCAGAAGCCTAAAAGTGCCAGGGAATCCAGGGCAGAGCTTGCCAAACAAACCTCAGGGCAGCTTCCCGGACAAGGGCAGGGACATTCAAGTTCCACGCACTCTGTATATCTTTGAGTGGTTTGCTTCCCTGCTGGATATCTGCAGGGACCCCTTGCCAGGGTGCAGGTGTGATAAAGTCAGACTCATTCCACTGCAAAATAAATAAATAAATAAATAAATAAATAATTTAAAAAAAAATAAAGTTTCCAGAGCCAGAGAGATAGTTCATCTGATGAAAGAGGTTGCTGCCAAGACTGAATCTACATGGTGGACAGAGAGGACCGATGCCCCGCCTCAAGTTACGCTGTTACCTTCAGAGTGCTGCGGTGTGTGTGCACACACATATGCCCCTCCACAAACATGCACACTAAATAACTAAATAGGCTGCTTTCCAGAGAGCTGGAAATTAATAGGGTTCCTGCCCCCCTCCCATGATAGGATAGTAGGTTTCTCTGCTGATGCAGTAAGCCAGATAAACCTGAACTGAAAAAGTATAACAATAATAGGTTTATTAGAGCAAAGCAATACTCCCCTCCCTGGGCAGGTTCTCCAGCCCCAGAGATCCAGGCCAGAGAAGTTGCACACACAAACCAAAGCAGGTTGGAAGCTTATACAGGTTGTAGGTGTGGGGTGATGACATGGCTGCCACAAGCTGGGTTTGTGCCCAAATATGGTCAAAAGCTGAACACTCTAGGCAGGGACCTGGGCAGCTGGAAACTTCAGGGGAGGAAGCTGTGGTAGCCACCAAGAATGCAGGCGTTTGATTGGGGAGGGGGGGGGCTCATGGTTCCAGAGGGTTAGAGTCCACAACCATCATGGCAGGAACCATGGCCAAAGGCAGGCATGGTGCTAGAGCAGTAGCTGAAAACTTAGCTATGATGTACAAGCAGCAGGCAAAGAGAGAAAGAGCCAACTGGGAATGAGATGGGCTTTGGAAGCCTCAGAGCCCATCCCCCAGGGACACACCTCCTTTAGCGAGGCCACACCTCCTAACCCTTTGCAAACATGCATTCAAATATGAGCTTTGGGGGGGGGGCATTCTCCTTTAAGCCACCACTAGTGGGATTGAGACACGGTATTGCTATGTAGCTCTGGCTGGCCTGGCGCTCACAACACAGACTAGGCTGGCTTCAAACTTAAATCTATGATTCTGTGTAGCATGCTTTCTTGTCAGACTATCTTTGGACCACCAGCTCCCAAATAACGACACAGAAACTTCTTACTAGTTATGAAAGTTTGGCCCTTAGCTTAGGCTTGTCTCCAAATAGCTCTTAAAAAAAAAAAAGATTTTATTTATTATGTATACAACATTCTGTTTCCATGTATATCTACACACCAGAAGAGGGCACCAGATCTAATAATGGATGGTTGTGAGCCACCATGTGGTTGCTGGGAATTGAACTCAGGACCTCTGGAAGAACACTCAGTGCCCTTAACCTCTGAGCCATCTCTCCAGCCCCTAAATAGCTCTTATAACTCAAATTAACATGCTCCCATTAATCAATGTCCTGCCACATGGCTTTTACCTTTCCTCAGTATGGCACGTCTGATTCGTTCCAAGTCTGCTGGCAAAATCCCTGCACCTAGATTCCTTCTCCTCCCCCTCTCTCTTCCTGGAAATCCTGCCTGTTCTCTCCTGATTAGCTATTAGCCATTCAGCTTTTTGTTAAACCGATAACAATGACACATCTTCACGTTGTACAAGATTATCCCACAACAGTTCTGTCTCCCTAGAGCTGGAATTATAGGTGGGAACCACCATACTCTGGGCCACTGGGTTTTTAAGTCTGTATCTGTGTGGACATTGAAGGGACAGTAGTCCACTCCAGCACGTGGCTCTGGTGGGCCTGGCCCTTCTCCCCCATTCCCTCTGCCTTGCTAAAAACTGTTAGATTATATCCTAAAGCTAGCCACCAAGTTCTATTCCCTTATTTGATCACTTCCTCCTCCTGAGGTTGACTACAAAGTCCAGCAATCAAAAGCCCCCTTTTGGAGCCCATTCCACATAAAGGGATATGCCCTGAGCCAAGACACTGTACAGGGAGGGGGTGGGCCTAGGCCCTATCCCAAAGGCTATGGCAGACTCTAAAGACCCCCTATGGAAGGCCTCACCCTCCCTGGGGAGCAGAAAGGGTATGGGATAAGTTGGGTTTTAGTTGGGGGAGAGGGGCAGAGGAGGAGGTGAGGGAGAGGGAACTGGGATTGTCATGTAAAACAATCTTGTTTCTAATTCTAATAAAAAATGGAGAGAAAAGAAAGATATTAAATCACTCAAAGAAAGCCCCCTTTTGATCACCTAATTAACATGCCTAATTACAATTAAATACCTCATCCTAACACATTTATTTATTTATTTTGGTTTTTCAAGACAAGGTTTCTCTGTATGGCTTCGAAGCCTGTCCTGGAACTTGATCTGTAGACCAGGTTGGTTTCCAACGCACAGAGATCTGCCTGCCTCTGCCTTCCCGAGTGCTGGGATTAAATGTGTGAGCCACCACCGCTTGGCTCTAACAGTTTTATAATCCGACATTTGCCTATGTACCATGTCTGTCTGCTCTCTGTCCAGGGGCAGTCCTTTGTTCCTCTGGGACAAATACCCCTCCCCTTTCCCTTGCTCTCTCCCTTCTCACTTGTCCCCTGTCTCCTTTACCGTTGAATCCTAACCCATTCTAACACAGACCTCCCCTTTTCCTCCTTTTAAAAATGATACCTGTGGGGCTGGAGAGATGGCTCTATGGTTAAGAGCTCTGGCTGTTCTTCCAGAGGCTCTGAGTTCAATTCCCAGCAACCACGTGGTGGCTCACAACCATCCGTTATGAGATCTGGTGCCCTCTTCTGGCCTGCAGGCAGACATACTGGCAGAACACGGTGTACCTAATAAATTTAAAAAAAGAAAAGAAAAGAAAAAAAATGGCACCTGTGGCCGGGTGGGGGTGGCAAAGGCCTTTAATCCCAGCACTCAGGACAAAAAGAAAAAGAAAAAAAAGACACCTGCAAGGTCATTTGCTGCTGTTTTCTGCCTGAGTCAGAAAGCACCCACTTTAACTTTTCTTTCCACTTAGTATCTCTCTGTGAAAGCGGGTATTTGGGTGTGTTTTGTGCCTAACCTAGGGGAAGCCCCACTGGTGGGGGGCTTTTCTTCAGGAGTGACCGTGTTTACCAGTGGTCAATGTCAGTTGTCTTTCTGAGCCAGTTTTCCTTAATCTCCCAAAGGCTTTACCTCCTGTTGTTGGACAAGATTTTCTCTGGGGAGATACAACACACATGTCCGCTCACTCCTGACAGGAAGTCCACAAGAGACCGATGTACAGATACCACCAAAGTCTGGTGTTTTATTGGGGTTACTTACAGGAAAATGGTTGAGGGGTTACTTACAGGAGCAGCAATGACTCAAAGACCAAAGCCTGTTCACCCCGCTCAGCTCTGGTGACAGCTCACAAAGCTGGGACCTTGGAGCACGCTGCACAGCCTGGAGCACACTGCACAGCCTGGAGGAGCACACTGCACAGCCTGGAGGAGCACTCTGCACAGCCTGGAGCACACTGCACAGCCTGGAGCACACCGCACAACCTGGAGCACACCGCACAACCTGGAGCACACTGCACAGCCTGGAGCACACTGCACAGCCTTCAGGAAGCTCAGCAGGTTGGAGAGATTCAGTTGGTCTTTACCTCTTCCAGGAAGCTCAGCTAATTTTTGCTTCTTCTGGACAGCTGGTCTGGCTTCAGAGCCTTCTTTGCTGCTGGTTTTGCCTGAGAGTGACTCTCAGCTTTTTTTGGTTACTCTGGCAGGGAGGGGCCTAGTGAAACTGGTCGGCTTCGGGGACTTCCTGAAGCTATTTTGATATGTTTACCTTCCTCCTTAAGGAGCTTCCCAGCAGGGTGGAATGTTTTAGGAAACTGTTTTACAACACTTTCTCACACAAGGCTGGGGGGGGGGGGGGGGGGGCTCAGCATGTGACTCTGAGAAATCTTCAGGTCACACAGGTGACATGAAGTAAGGCAAGAGCTGTGGAGAGTGCAGATATCTTCCCCTGGAGAAATGCTCCCCAGAGAGCGAGGTTATAGTCCCATGAGTATCAGCCATTCTCTACAGTTCACAGCAATGGCTGTAGAGATAGGCTCTAGAGATAGGCATGGACTCTCACTCAGGGTGTCCTGTGTGGTAAAGTAAACCACTGCTGGATGCCAACTGGCCAGCAATGTAGACCAGCAACTGCTGGGGGGGGGGTCCTTAAGCATATGTGTCTCTCTGGATAATGAATAAACAGTTTTGTCAATAGAGGCAGGAAGATAGGCGGGATGGGAGATGAGGAGAATTCTGGGAGAGGTAGGCAGAGGGGGAGATGGCAAGAGAGGCCATGCTGCTGAAGGAGTAACATGCTGGATTATAGGTAAGCCACAGCCTTGTGGCAATACATAGATTAATAGAAATGGGCTAATAATTAAGACAGAGCCAGCCAATAAGAAGCCCTAGCCATCAGTCAACAGTTTTATAATTAATATAGCATCTGTGTGTTTACTGGGGGCAAAGAAGGGCATCGGGAAAAGAAACTCCAGCAATAAATAACAGATCTCTGAAAGGCCATGCTACCAGATGGAAGATTGGTCACAATTGACTGCTTTCATCATAGAATGGGAAGGGCTTGGATCTTACTGGGTAGATCAGGCCAGACCTCTGCATTCAGTGCCACCTGGAAGTTGGCTGTAGGAGTCAGGTGGCTTGCTCAAGCTGGGATCAAGGACACAGTGAGCAGGTATGACCTGTCCCTGAAGGAAACTCTACCAGGCAGCAGCAAATCATTAGGTGTCAACCCGTGTGTACCATAGGTATAGGGCTGACCTCCAGTCTCCCACTGCGTCTGTTGTCCCCCTGAGCTCCAGGACAATCACAGAACACCTGGCTGACCAGTGTGAAGGAACACTTGATGGGAGCGTATTACTGCTGTCCCCACACTAGTGAGGCTTCCTGAACCTTCTTCTCTGAGGGAAGTCACACACAAATCATGCCAGGGATCTCCCATGTCTCAGGGCATGCAGAGCACCTGAAATACAGCTGCTGTCTTTCAGAGAGTCACACAGTCTTGGTGTTGAGCCTGGCTTGAGGGAGGGAAAGGCAACAGGCAGGAATCTGAGAACGCCTGTTCCCTGGGGCTGTCGCTGGGGTGGTCTGGGCACCTGAGCCTCCTGCCTGCTGTAGATGCCATGTGACCTGCCGTGACTTCCTGGGCATTTGTTCTATGAACCCTGGCAGACAAGATAGAAGAGCCTCAGCACACCCTTAGACAAATTGCCAGAGGTGGATCTGAGATGAACAGTAAATCCTCAGACTCTTTGAAGTGCCCCAAAAGACCCATCTGTCTACTCTGAGGAGAGATGCCAGAGGGACTCAGGGGTCACTACTGGGACAGGAACTCCCAGAATCCATGTTTAGGTTTACGAGAGTCCTGCCTCGGAGGACAGAAGGTGCCTCAGTGTAGTCACCAAGGGCAGAGTCCCAGGCTGGTAGGGGTAGCAGGTGAGGGGCACCTGGGAGGGACAGGTAAGGACAGCATCGTACTCACTGGACAGACTGCAGGCACAGTGGGGTCTCTAGTCCCTGGGCATTGGGGTTCTGTACCCAGGGTCTTGCTCCAAGCAGTCACCTAAGTCACTTGCTCCACTTAGATCAGGGTGATTTCCTCACTTAGAATAATAAAAGGTTACAACCTCAGCTTCTGTCCAGACAAGGCAAATTCCAAATCCAGAAATTTCACTTTCCTAGGCTAAAGCTGTGGCTCTGTGGTGCTTCATTGACCTAGCACTTCTGAGGCCCTGGGTTCAAGACTCAGTACTGGGAGGCTGAAAACACAAATTCTGTTCCCAGGCTGCAGCCTCCTCTCCCACTACACTGCTGTGTCAGATCCTCTCACAGGCACAGGTGTGTGTGTGTGTGTGTGTGTGTGTGTGTGTGTGTGTGTGTGTGTGTGTGCGCACATGTGCACTCTTTTCCACTGTTTTGCCAGGCCTTCTACACATGTGCACACGTTTCTTATCATGGCTTCTTCAAATCCCACAGGGAACTGCCCCTAGCCCCAACCCTGTCCACTGCCACCTTAACAACCTCAGCCCTCCCCTTGCCGCAGGACGACACCGGTGTCAGCAGCATGAAGCTGAATTTCAGTGGTCTCAGGGCCCTGGTGACAGGGGCGGGGAAAGGTGAGTGTGAGCAGGAGAGGAAGGGGGCCAGACTTAACAATGAATAGGGACCCAAGGTGACATTGTCACAGCTCAGTCCTGCAGACCCTGACTCCCACTGCACCCAGGACTCAACTGCTTCTGTCACCCAGCTGGAGCCCCACTGTCCACCAGGACAGAATGGCAATCTCTCCCTGGCCACCACAGTGCCACCCCCTGAAGGACAAGTTTAGTTTGGCTCCAAGACAGCCCCTAGATCCAGGCAGGGCAGATGGGCACCCATGGTACCCTTCTCTGGGACTCCCTCAGGAGGGTGCTGCCCTCTGGTGCCTCCTCTGGCCTGATACTAGTGAGTCTGACATCGGCCCAGGGATAGTCCCATCTAATCCTGGCTCATCACTTTTGGCCAGAACCCTCTTACCGCTGGCTGCAGGGACATGGGAGTAACAGCCTTTACTCACTCTTGGGACCTAGATGCCGGCTGTGGCCAGGCTTACAGGGCTCTTATCCCGCCATATTCCTGCTTTATAGGGATTGGGCGTGGCACTGTGAAAGCCCTGCATGCCTCAGGAGCCAAAGTGGTGGCCGTGACACGCACCAATGCAGACCTGGTCAGCCTCACCAAAGAGGTGAGGCACACAGCCCTGCCATGGCCGGGACCTCAGGGGTACATCAGAAGCTGGCTGGGACAAAGCCTCACTCAGGCCACCAAACAATGTCTCTCACAGTGTCCGGGGATAGAGCCTGTGTGCGTGGACCTGGGTGACTGGGAGGCCACCGAGAAGGCACTGCGCAATATTGGCCCCGTGGACCTGCTGGTGAACAATGCAGGGGTGGCCCTGGTGCAGCCTTTCATAGAGTCTACCAAGGAGGTGTTTGACAGGTGGGCGCTTGGGGAGCGTGGGCAGGCTGGGGAGGGTCGCTGAACACTGGTGGCGCCATTGTCCCTCTCCTGCCAGGTCCTTCAATGTGAATGTGCGCTCTGTGTTGCAAGTGTCCCAGGTGAGATGGGGGGAGGACTGTGCCCAGGGAGGGACACCTGGGGAGGGTGGGATGGCACAGGGCACAGTGAGCTACCCCTAACTCTGGGCTTCCAGGTGGTAGCCAAGGGCATGATTAGCCGTGGAGTGGCAGGATCCATTGTCAATATCTCCAGCATGGTGGCCTATGTCACCTTCCCTGGCCTGACCACATACAGTGAGTGCAACCTTCATTGTGGGGGGGAGGAGGTTCTGGGTGCCTCTCCCAGAAGGAGGACTGAATAATTGGGGGGTCCTCAGCACTCCCCACCCCCCCACAGGCTCCACAAAAGGTGCACTAACCATGCTGACCAAAGCCATGGCCATGGAACTGGGGCCACACAAGGTAGGCACGGGGGCCTGGGCCCACACCTGAGGGACAGATGATGGGCACCTGGGCCAGGGCTGAGGGTTGAGGGGGAGGCTTGGGCATGCTCTCAGCTCATCAGGCTTGTCCCGGGCTAAGTCCTGAGCTGTGTGGGTAGGGCTAGTTGACTGGCTGTGCCACCCACCTGCTGTGGCTTCTGGCCCCAGATCCGGGTGAACTCTGTAAACCCTACTGTGGTGCTGACTGACATGGGCAAGAAAGTCTCTGCAGACCCGAACTTTGCCAAGAAGCTCAAGGAGCGCCACCCACTGAGGAAGTTTGCAGGTCAGCTGGGGCTGTGGGTGAGGGACTCCGTGAAGGGCACAGCAGCCCAGCAGGCAGAAGCCCTGACTGCTCTGCTGCCCCGCAGAGGTGGAGGACGTTGTCAACAGCATCCTTTTCCTGCTCAGCGACAGCAGCGCCTCGACCACTGGCTCCAGCATCCTGGTGGACGCTGGTTACCTGGCCTCCTAGACCGCCAGACGCAGTGGACCCCTGGAGGCCTCCCTGGCCCCTCACATCAAAACCCTGCCTTCAACCCAGCCCCACAGTTCTGTTCCCGTCCTGTACACCCACCCCATGTCCATTCCCACCCTAGACTCCAGGATCCCTCCCTTCCATACCAGCTGGGCTGAGCTAATTTGACTAAATAAATGACCATAGTATCCCAAGCCTTGAAAAGTCACACCTGGTACATGGGAGAAGTAGCCGTATCGCAAGGCCATCTGTGGATTGTCACACAGCAGTGTCTTGTGCAGGATGCCCTGATTTCCTGTTGGAGTCTGCTGTTGTCCCTTGTCTGCCCCTTACCTATGCCTGTGCCGGTGACCAGTGCCTTATGGGATGGAAGCCCCAGGTCTGTGGTGACCCTGCCTGATCTGGGATTGGGATCAAGGGAGGGTAGAATTTTAAAGGGAGGGTAGAATTTTAAAGGGAGGGTAGAATTTTAAAGGGAGGGTAGACTCAAACAAGAGCTCTTTCTGTCATGGTTACTGACTGGATGGAAGCAGCACCCTAGTCAAGGGCGCCCTGGATTGGTCCAACTAGGAAGAGTGGGATCTGCTTATTTAACCCTTGTGACACAAGCTAGAGTCTTCAGAGAGGAGGGAGCCTCACCTGAGAAAATGCCTCCACAAGAACCAGCTGTAGGGCATTTTCTAAGTTAGTCATCAATGCGGAGGGCGCAGCACAACCATTTCAAGTGGTGCCATCCCTGGGCTTGTGGAACCGGTGTTTATCCCTAGTGGATAAACTGGCTTTTCGGAGCCCATTCCCTATGGAGGGACATTCTCTCAGCCTAGATACAGAGGGGAGGGCTTCAGGTCCTGCTCCAAATGATCTCCCATGGGAGGCCTCACCTTCTCTGAGGAGTGGACTGGGGGTGGGATGGGGAGATGGTGGGAGGACAGGAGGGAGAGGGAACTGGGATTGGTATGTAAAATAAGATTTTTAACTTAAGGCCTGACGTTGGTGGCGCATGCCTTTAATCCCAGCACTCGGGAGGCACAGGCAGAGGCAGGTGGATCTCTGAGTTGGAGGCCAGCCTCATCTCCAGAGCGAGTGCCAGGATAGACTCCAAAGCCACACAGAGAAACCCTGTCTCGGAAAAAAAAAAAAAAAAAAAAAAGATTTTTAATTTAAATAAACAAATTAATAAAAAAACAAAAAACAAAGGAAATCTGGTGATGGCCACTGGGTGGGTACAGTTGCTAGGGCCTGACCAGCTCATTCAGAGCCTTGGACTTTAGACACACACAAGTGAATTTCTTTTTTTTTTTTTTTTTTTTTTTTGTTTTTCGGGACAGGGTTTCTCTGTTTAGCTTTGGAGCCTATCCTGGCACTCGCTCTTGTAGAACAGGCTGGCCTCGAACTCACAGAGATCCGCCTGCCTCTACCTCTGAGTGCTGGGATTAAAGGTGTGTGCCACCAACAGCTGGCCTTCAAGCTGAACTTTTAAACATCTTTTTTAAAAAATAAGTAAGGTCCAGATCTTGTGTGATGGTACCCCTTAATCCCAGCACCTAAGAGGCAGAGGCAGGAAGATCTCTGTGAGTTCAAGGCCAGTCCAGTCTACACAATGAAGCCCATAATAGCCAGGGCTCCACAGAGAGACCTTGTCTCAAAAAATAAAATAAAAAAGTCTCCTTTTGAACTACTTATTTTGCTGGACATGGTGGTACATGTCTTTATCCCAGCACCCAGGAGGCAGAGGTAAGAGGATCTCTGTGAGTTTGAGGCCAGTGTGGTTTACATAGAGAGTAAACAGAGAGAGGACAGCCAGTACTACATAGTCTCTGTTGCAAAAGACCAAAAAAGCCAGGTGGGGTGGCAAATGCCTTTAATCCCAGCACTTGCAGGGCAGAGGCAAGCAGATAGATCTTTGTGAATTTGAGGTTAGCCTGGTTGACAGCCAGGCTGTTACACAGAGAAACCCTGTCTTCAAAGACAAAAAAAAAATATTTTATATGTGTGGGTGTTTTGTTTGTACATATATTTACGGGCCACTTGCATCAGAAGCCAGAAGATGGCATCAGATCCTCTGGAACTGAAGTATTGGATGGTTGTGAGACACGGTATGGGCTCTAGGAACGGAATCAGGGTCCTCTGGAACAGCAGCCAGCTTCCCTAACTGCTGAAGCATCTCTCTGGCTTATGTAACCACATGCAGAGACTCTGTATCTAAACTCTGCAGCTTCTTTAAATATTTTGTAGCCATTTGGTCACTTACCTATCTACATGTGCATAATGAACACACACACACACACACACACACACACACACACAGTGACATGTAACCTGAAACTCAAAGTTATTATCTAAGACTAAAGTAAGAAGATAAACCTTGCTTGCCAACAGCCAGGCCATCAAAGGAAACTCAAATTACTTGTAAATTGTCGAAAACCAAAGTAACTTTTGAATTTACTGTTACCTGATACATTCTGACATCGTGGAAAGACACAAGAGTGTGCTATGTTTCTGACACTCTGTATTCACAACACCTGCCCAGAGTAGAGTAGATCAAACCTGCCGGGGTCAACTAAACATGCCCACTGTCTCCTAGGTCAACTAAACATGCCCACTGTCTCCTAGGTCAACCAAACATGCCAAACACTGTCCCCTAGGTCAACCAAACATGCTAAAATACTGTCCCCTAGGTCAACTAAACATGCCAAACACTGTCCCCTAGGTCAACCAAACATGCTAAAATACTGTCCCCTAGGTCAACTAAACATGCCAAACACTGTCCCCTAGGTCAACCAAACATGCTAAAATACTGTCCCCTAGGTCAACTAAACATGCCAAACACTGTCCCCTAGGTCAACCAAACATGCTAAAATACTGTCCCCTAGGTCAACTAAACATGCCAAACACTGTCCCCTAGGTCAACCAAACATGCTAAAATACTGTCCCCTAGGTCAACTAAACATGGCAAACACTGTCCCCTAGGTCAACCAAACATGCTAAAATACTGTCCCCTAGGTCAACTAAACATGGCAAACACTGTCCCCTAGGTCAACTAAGCACATTCACACACTTCACCTTCTATACAGGCTTGCTGGAGTTCCTGCCAAGCCAGAAACAGGTGTTTTTCTTTTTTTTTAATGTGGTTCTCTACAAGATTACTGCTTGTCATGAGGCCCTTGGCACTCCTAATGCCTCCCCTAATTCCTTAGTCACCTAGAGTCACCCAAAATGGGTTGGGAGAGCAACTGTTTCTTCTCTTCAGGGTCCAGGACATCCTCATGTAGCTAAATCTCTAATGAGACAACTGCCATCAAGCCTACCGTTATAGACCGACAGATAAATATGCACATGATATATGGAAATAACGCTGATTCAGAGTCCATGCTTAGACAAACTCCTTTTGTCTGTTGCTAAGTCCTTGCAAGGCTTAGATCCTGGAATCCTGACTAGGGCCAGTGAGGAAGAAATGACAAATACATTAGCACACAGACAAGCTGGGCTCAGGTGGTCTTCACTCTGTAATAGAAAAGCCACAGCACTGCAGAATCCCGGTGTGATTATGGCATATAGTTGAACAAGGGAGGCAGGGTCATTGTATACAGCTGAACCGGGAGGCCGGTTTAGCCTATCTCTATAGGAGATCGGTCGTAACAGGGTGTGGGTGCAGAAAGCTACAGAGGACATTTTCTGCAAACACTGTCAACATTCCAATCAGACCAGGGCTGAGGCATCGGGGGTCCTTGATATGTCCATGTCAACAACCCACATTCACTAGGGACTTCTCTCACTCCCTATAATCCACAAGTTCGTAAATGGAGGACCAAGCAGCTGCAGTTCTCCTTTAGGGGTACCATGGTAGCACATTCAGCATTTCCCATGGCTCTAGACCCTTAAGGTACCTTGAGCCTTCTTACCTAAGCCTAAAATAGTGTGAAAAGCCCATATAGCAAAAAATAAAATAAAAAACAGGCATGGTCCCTACAAAATTTCAAGTTTCCCTGCCAGGGGCTGGAGAGATGACTCAGCAGTTAGGAGGACTGGCTGCTCCCGAAGAACACTTGAGTTCAATCCCAGCACCCACCTGGTGGTTCACAACCATCTGTAACTCCAATGCCAGGGGATCTTGTGCCCTCTTCTGGCCACTGTAGGCACTGCAGAAATATGATGCACAGCAAACAAAATAAGAACACTCAAAAATAAAAATAAATCTTGCTTACCTGCAAAAAACCAATTGGCGTAATCGTATAATATCCCAGAAGAACTCAAAGAAACAATAAAAGCAAGGTCCAAAATACTCTGTTGGGAAAGGGCTGGTGGAGATCTCTAAGGCCTTGGAAGGCAGGTACTGGTCTCTGCCTGGAGATTAGGCTGGGGTCTGCTCACCTGTTGAGTGGCTATGTTCATGAGATTCAAATTATGTAACAAGGGCTGAGGAAATGGTCCAATCTGTTCACTGCTTTTCAAGTATGAGTTCTGAAGTTTGATTCCCAGACTCTGTGTAAAAGAAATTAGGAGTGTTAACCAGGTGGTGGTGCAGGCCTTTAATCCCAGCACTCAGGAGGCAGAGGCAGGCGGATCTCTGTGAGTTTGAGGCCAGCCTGGTCTATAGAGCGAGTTCCAGGACAGCTTCCAAAGCAATACAGAAAAACCCTGCCTCAAAAAACCCCCCAAAAATTATTACATTTTTTAAAAATTTTTTTAATTTTTAATTTATTACATTTTTATTGATTTTTGTCTATGTGTGTGTGCAGGCATGCCATGGTGGAAGTGCGGAGGACAACTTTTGGGAGTTGGTTCTCTCCATCCAATGTGCAGCCCCAGGGACTGCATCCAGGTTAGGCAGCCTTCTGGCAAGCACCCCTTTATCCACTGGACATCTCACCAGCCCTTGACTAACTTCAAGAAACACCGAGGATTCCTAACTTCTAACCAATCCATTCTACCTATGTCTTGAACAACAGCCAGCGCCATTGGCCTTCCTGTGACCAGCCAGCTATGGCTTTTCCTGGCAGATTTTAACCCAGACCCTGACACTGAGATCCTGGTATGACCCTGAGCCAGAATTCCATAATTTCTCACAGAGGTTCCTTCCCTAAACACCTCCCTGTCTGAACCCTGAACTCATCCCTTTTCTCTTGGGCCCTCTGATGGATGAGCTCACACTCTAGATCCCATAACACCTGTGCCACACACGCTTGGCGCTTTAATTCCTTTTTCCTTGTGGTCTCAAGCCACTCCATCTCAGAAGACTGTGGGGACACTCCCCTGTGCACTACTCTGTTGTCACCACCAAAAGGAATATTGCCTTCACATTCCTGCCTCATTGCAAGGAGACACATATACACACAACTCAGCAGGCTCTCATCCGTGGATTCTATTCTTTACAAAGGAGAAAACAAAGTGCGTTAGTGGCTTTCCAGAGGCGGACCTGGCCCCCGTGCTGGAAGGACTCAGAACAGCAGCCATTCTCTTCTGTCCCCAGCCGGCGGCTCTCTCTGTACTACAGCGCCCCCTGCTGTCTGTGTGCCTGCGGTCCCCGCAGCTGAACCGGAACTGTGAAGGTGTTTCAACTGCTACTCCTAGCTACTACGTGCATATCCATTGCTGCCTATCTTCAGAGTCTACCCCTGCTCCCGAGGAGTGCGCTCCCACCTAGTCTTCCTTGAGAGACGTTCCACTGTAGCTCACAGACCCCCAGGGGCTCATGTCTGACACTCAAGTCTCTTCCCAGAATATCTGAGCTGCAGGAATGAGGACATCAGAGTAGAAGATTGTTAGAAATCTTCAGCCATAGACAAAAACTAGACAAGAGTGCACAGCTAGTCACCCAAGAGAAACACAAAAATGCTGTGCATAGCCTTCAACTTGACCAAGAGAATCGTGAGACAATTGACCCAAGATAGCCACACATGCTTGACCACCCGTGCTCAGAGCTCAGCTTTGGCAGAGGAGAGGGAACTTTCCCTCCATTTGCTTATTTTTTTTTTTTTGTAAGTTTCCATCAGGATTAACTCAGCCCATTGCTGCACCTGCCCTGAGCACTGTGGAGATTTGGTGTGGAGCTCCTGGCAGCTCTGGGTAGCTTGCTCTTTGAATTAAAAACAAAACATCCAAGGAGCCTTGAAAGGCTTTCTGGCCTCAGTGTCATACACACAACGGTCAGAGACGGGCCACTGTGTAGATGGAGCCCTAGGATTTTCCAAAGGTGTTCCCCAAGAAGGAAGAAAGCTAAGCTTTGAGAACAACTGGAAGATCCTAAAGAGCAACACACATCCTAAAGATTCCCAAAGTGGTTGAGGAGATGGTTCAGTGGGTAGTGTCCTTGTGCAAATATGACCTCAGTTGGGATCCCTAGCATCCGGGTAAAAAGCTCTGGCAGGAGGATCCATGGGAGGAGGGACGAGGAGTAGTGGCTCCCTGACATCTAGTCGAGCTGAAATGGTAAGCTTCAGGCTCACTGAGAGACCCTGTCTCTAAAATAACATGGAAATCAATTCCAGATGACAGCCAGCACCAACCCCAGGCCTCTACATGAGCATGAGTGTACACAGGGGAACAAACACACAAAGAGACAGAGAGGTGGCTCTCTCTTACACACACACACATCAGAAACTGTGGACAGGAAAACATGACAAGTAAAGCTATATTCAGAAGGTTATATATTTAGGACATACGAGTTGTGTACTTGGGTGGTCTTAACCTCACTATGAAGTTTTGAACTCCTAATCTTTTTCTTCTTCCACACACTGGGTGCTGAGATTGGAGGTGTGCACATCATACCCAGATTTCTTTCTTTCTTTCTTTCTTTCTTTCTTTCTTTCTTTCTTTCTTCTTCTTCTTCTTCTTCTTCTGCTTCTTCTTCTTTTTGTTTTGCGAGACAGGGTTTCTCTGTGTAGCTTTGGAGCCTATCCTGGCACTCGCTCTGGAGACCAGGCTGGCCTCAAACTCACAGAGATCCACCTGCCTCTGCCTCCTGAGTGCTGGGATTAAAGGCGTGCGCCACCAACGCCCAGATTCTTTTTTCTTTTCCCTCCCTCCCTCCTTCCCTCCACCCCTTCCTTCCTTCCTTTCTTTTCAAAACAGGGTTTCTCTGTGGCTTTGAAGGCTGTCCTGGAACTCACTCTATAGACCAGGTTGGTCTCGAACTCACAGAGATTCACCTGCCTCTGCCTCCCGAGCACTGGGATTAAAGGCGTGCGCCACCAACGCCCAAGTAACAGATCATTTGTTTTATTTTTTAAAGATTTATTTTGTATATATTGTTCTGTCTGCATGTCTGCCTGCAGGCCAGAAGAGGGCACCAGATCTCATTACGGATGGTTTTGAGCCACCATGTGGTTGCTGGGAATTGAACTCAGGACCTCTGGAAGAGCAGCCAGTGCTGTTAACCTCTGAGCCATCCCTCCAGCCCCGGATCATTTATTAAAGAGAACTTTATGTCTGCTTTCTCCTCATGAACCAAAGATACCAGTGAGATGGAGTGGGAGCTACTGCTTCAGATATTAGTGGGCTGTGCGATGCTTAGGGCACAGGGACCAGCCTTGGCAGGCGGAGGTACTGGAGACACCGCCACATATTCTTTATCCTGTAGCAAGCTGCATTAACTCTGCAAAGCCTCTGGCAGTCAACATCTTGTCTGTTCTGGGTGGTTACCATCCCTGCAGAGTCTGCAAACACCCCTCCTGTTGGTGTGGATTTGTTTCCATACTTGGCCCCTGTAACCCAAAGACACTGTGCTTACTGGTGGAGCCCATGAGTGAATACAGGACAGGGTAAGAAGGAAATTTTTGCATGCTAAGGGCAAAGAGGAGGCCTCTAAATTCCAGGTGCTGGATGGAGTTGAGATTTGCAACATTCCCACACTGGGGTCACAGGCAGGTGAATAGGTCACGGCTGAACTGGCCCACACAGGTAACATCTTTCCTCATAGTATCTTAGTGTTGCTGTAAGCAGCTTTCCACAGCTCCATGCTCTCTTGCTTCGTCCAGTTCAACTGTGTGCCTGCTTCCCAGCCTTAGCCCTTGCCCTTCTACCCAGAACCCTACTGAACAGAAACAGAGCTTCTCCCTGGAATGCCAGCAGTCAGCAGTCGAAGGCCCCAAGACTGTAAGGTTTGACCCAAAATGGAGTTCTTCTTCCTTTTGCGTGTGTATACCTGTTCACGTGGAGGCTACCCTCAGGTGCCGTTCCTTAAGTATAACACATCTTGTTTTATTCTCTTGCTTTTTTTTTTTTTTTTCCTGTTTTCTTTGTTTGTTTGTTTTTCGGAACAGGGTTTCTCTGCAGCTTTGGAACTCACTCTGTAGACCAGGCTGGCTTCCAACACAGAGATCCACCTGCCTCTGCCTCCCGAGTGATGGGATTAAAAGCCAGCACCATCACTGCCCAGTCTCTTCTTTTTTTCTTTTTTTTTTTTTTTTTGAGACAGGATTTCTCTATGTAACAGCCCAGGCTATCTTGGAACTAGCTCCATAGACCAGGTTGGCCTCAAATTCACAGAGATCAATACCTGTCTCTGCCTCTGGAGTACTGGGATTAAAGGCAAGCACCACCATGCCAGGCTTATTTTTTTCTTTTAATGTGGGTTTTGTAGCCCAAACTCATATCCTCAGGTTTGCATGGTAAGCACTGCAGTGATCGAGCCATCTGTCTGGTCCCCCAGGGTCTGTCTTTCTTGTGTTGAAACCAGGTCTGTATAGTCTAGGCTGGTCTTGAACCATCCATCTTCCTGAGCACTGAGATTACTGGCTTGCACCACCATGCAGGGCTCTGGGGCATGTTTTCCTTCTGGTGAGCACAACCCAGTCATGCCATCTTGCTTCCTGCCCTTCACACACATAAGCTCTTCCAGCGACGCCGGGGAGCCGTAAGCCCATCCCAGGTTGGAGTCATCATAAATGAGAATTGTATTTACCGTACCTAAGCCCCCACCGTACCTTAGCTTAACAGCACAGCCTGTTCTGCCCACAGCAGTGTCCATCCTCAAGATCTCACTGCTAGGACTATCAAGTACTCAGTATCTGGAGAGAAAGTTGTATGGTGCATTCCCAGTCCAGGAGAAGACTATTTAACTTACAGTAGGATTACTTGAGACAGTGTCTTTACTTAGCCCTGGCTGGCCTGGAACTCATGATTTAGATCAGGCTGGCCTCAAACCTGGGTGATCCTTTTGCTTCAGCCTTCCCAGTGTTGAGATGACATGTGTGAGCCACTGCACCCAGCTTTGAAGCTCCTCAGTATGGAAAGCATGTTCATTAACACCATGACACCCGCCCCCTTCTTGTGGCTTCACAAGTTCTAGGCCAAGTGTTCCACCATGAGCCATGCCTTCCGCCCTAGTGTACGCTACATTAAAAAGTCCTTGCCGGGTATGGTGGCACACAACTTCTTTTCCATTCCTCAGGAGACAGAGGGAGGCAGTTGGACCTCTGTGAGTTCAAGGTTCATCTGGTCCACATAGCAAGCTCCAGTACAGCTAGGGCTACAAAAGAAGACCCTGTCTCAAACAGAACAAAATGAAACAAAGTCCTAAGTTGAACCATCCTAAGCCAGGGACCATCAATCGCACCTATACACACCAACACCCATAAGCACACATGGGCAGGGTTCAGGGTGCACACCCTTTTTCAGCATGTTCACACAAACACTATACATGTATCCATGCACACAGGCATACTCGTACACACATCAGCTATGCCTACATGCTCCCATGTACCCAGGCACAACCATGCACATGGCGGCCATGCCCCACACTCTCATATAACTAGCATGCCCATGCACAAACACCTGTGCCATACAGGCCTTTACACTCAGGCAGTTATGCACATGGCAGTCATGCTCACATATGTGTGTCAGTGGTTCCATCATGAGTGTTGAGACAGACCACTCTGGAGTCCTGCTTGGCCTCATAGTATGGAGTTAAGGAGGTGGGCAGTGCTGTAGGAACAGGCCTTCCTGGAAGAACACGCTGTGTGGACATCTGCAAAGCTGAGCTGCCAGGCATCTCGGTCACTTATTACAAGAGGAGCCAAACCAAGAATGATAGAGAAGCCTTTACTCGACACTGTAGCCACTTCCCCACAGTGTACCTCTATAAAAGGTGCTGGGTCTGCGTCTTGCTCTTGAGGGGCCTAAAGGAAAGGCTCTCACTATGCTGTTGATCTGTGGGAAGCTCAGGGAGGCCAAGGGTTGAGGTAATGGAAGAACAGCAGGGCTGCTTGGAAGCACAGCCTTGAGGCATCCACTGGCCAGGTAGTCTGCACATTCTGGGTTTGGACAGTGGCCCTGTGAGCCCTCTAGGAAGTCTGTGGCCAGACCTGGAGCCCACTCCTTAATGCCCAGCCCGCCCTGGTGAGGATGAGCTGCAGCTGTAGGAGGCTGGGAACCAGTCCCCTCCTGGCCACAGTCACTGCGTAGGGTGGTAGACCTTATCAATGGGAAGACCTTCGGGCTGGGCTAGGAGCATCGGCAGCTCAACGGCATTGCCTCTCTCGATTTTCCTGATGATCTTGGTGCGTGCAGCCCACTGTCCTCACTTTCCCGAGGTACCTGGTGTCCAACTGGAAGAGGGATCTCGGGAGGTCTTCAAGCAGCCTTATCTGCTGCTGAGTGATTGAGTCCAAGGCCTGAGGGAGCCAGGTAGAGCAGCCACCTGGGGTCATCGGTTACCGAAAAGCTACCTCACCCCTGTTCTTCACAGGACACCAGTGGGTGTCTGGGTAGAGAAGGCAGTGCACAGACTGAAACCTGTCAGGGGAAGAAGTGAGGTCAGGCCTGCTGGGCAGGGGGCTGACACCAGAGCCCTCTAGGGATAAAAGCCCCCAGTGCCCACTCACCGCGTAGGGTCCTGTTGTATACTGAAACTTCCAGCCACATTTACCACATTACGTGGGTTCTCAGGACCCCCATAGCTCAGGGTGACCTGAGAGAGGGATCAGGGAGAGTGAGGGTCAGTTCTTCCTTCTGGGTACTACACCTGCCAGAGGAAACTTCTCTCACCCCTCAGGCTTAGGGAGGCCCTGCCCCTCTGAGATTTGCCATGAGCTTCTGCTCTTGAGGGTCTTTCATGCAGCAGGTAATGTCTTGGCCCAGGGTCCACTCCCCAGGGACAAGGATATCCCGAGGCTAGCCCTGGACAACTGGGGGACCCCCGGGAGGTAGGGCCCGGCCAGGCTGGGGTGTCTTCTACCTGCTGCAGAACGGCATCGGATGGCAGTCTCTGCAGGTTTTCCAGGTGGGAGTGGAACAGGGTGCTGTGAAGCAGACGGGCACCCAGAAGCCCTTCCACAATGTAGCCCACTGTGCAGTCATCAGGCAGGCGTACCCGCTCGGCTGTGCTCATGAAACTGCCTAGGCTGGAGGGTGGGCTAGTCAACACCCCTGTAGCCCTTAGCACCCCCAAAGCCAGGCAGCTGGGCTCCCAGTCTCCCACTTACCTGGCCCATGGACTCATTTTGAGGGCAAGGCCCCTGCTCAGGCAGAACCCAGCCCCACCAGTAGCAAACCAGAACTTCACTGTGTTTGACTGGAAAAAGGGAAAGCTTGGTCAAGGATGCCCAGGATGGCACTCCTCACCATCAACCCTCCAAATGAATCATGTCATCCTGGACTTCCGTTTGCAGAGGCACAGGATGTCCCTAACAAGTCACCTTGGCCTTTAGGACCTTCTTTGTCACTACGCCTGACTCGCCAGCTCTGTAGGACCTGGACCCAGGCTACCTGGCCGGCTCATGCCTGTCTTAGCCTATTCTCACTCTGGCAGCCTCAGGGAGGATGTTGGCCCAGCACTCACGGTGCGGCCACCCTGGACCCTCTCCGTGGCCTCGATGGGGTGGTCCAGACTGGGTCGCCCCAGGTAGATGTCCTGGTTGGAAGAGAAGGTGGAAAGCAGGTGCAGCAGGCTTTCAGGGTTCACGTAGTTGTCATCGTCCACGTGGCAGAACCATCTGAAGGTGGAGGGAGAGGCCTGTGCACTGAGGCCCCCCATTTGGGTGGGAGCCTCCACCGTGCTCCGCCCTGGGTTCTCTCTCTGATGGGTGAGGTTACTTACTTTCGTCCAGATTCTATGAACTTATCATATTCCACTGACATTTTACAGCACAGTGCTTGGCGGGTGCGCACGGCAGAGCAGTTGGTGTTGATCATGCGGCCGCCTGCGCAGTTGGAAGAAATGTGAAATGGAGGGTTGACATCCAGCTCGCCTCCCCTTAGGGTTAGGCTGGAGGATGCCTGTCCAGCCAGTGGGCCCGGTTCAACGGCAGCCCCACCACAGCCCTCATTCTGAAGCCGATGGCGTGGCTTCCTCGAGGAATGTGGGTGACAGTGGCCCGTGGCAGCCTGCCAGGAACTGGGGGACCTGATGCCTGGAAGGGTGGGCACATGGACGGGTGAGCGGGCTCTGCCCTCCACCAGCCGTGTGACTCTAGCCAAGGAGCAGCGTGGCCCGGGTGGGGGAGCTTCTCACCTGCCAGCATCTGGAGCTCTCGGTCGTCTCCATCGGTGAAAATGAAAGTCTGCGGGAGGAAACTCCGTGAGGTGCGAGTGGGTGTGGGAACAAGTGCGGGGCCCCGGGGTGCGGGGTGCGGGGTGCGGGGCCGCGGGGTGCGGGGTG